AAAGGCCAAAAGGCAAGAAGACAAAGTGAATTTCAGAAGAAAAATGAAGAACTTTTTTCAAGCACACGTTCAGTATTTGATGTCGAATTCAACGAAAAGCTCGTTTTTAGAAAGAGATGTGAGATGTGTCTTAGAAGACAAATGGTTTCTAGCAATTTAGTTTTCATTCAAGGTCATAAAATATCATCTGGGATTTCAAAATGACGTCTCAGATGACTGCTTTAACTCTGGAATGTATATTTTTATATTTAGTTTAAGAAGCCTCGAAATAAAATGTGTACAGTTCACATTTCATTAAAACAAATTATGGGGATTTGTGTAATGATCATGACTTTGAATGTACCCCACATGTGAAGATTGTTGATCCACGTCTGAAGAATACGCCAGTATTTTTAAATCCTCGAATTACTAATTTTTTTTCTTTTCTGCATGCACTCCCAGTATTTTTAAAATTGTAATGCTCCATCATGATGGAGATACAGTAACGAGGTTGTCCCTGCAAGCCTTAATTCATTTCCCTGTTGAATATGCATCTCAATAGCGATCTTTCACAAATCATTTCATCGTTTCCAAGAAATGCGATCATACATCACTGCTTAATAAAATGGAGTTTACTGAGTTGCAACACAGTCCACATCCATTTTCTCCAGTGCATTTGGCACACACTTCTAGCCTGTTAAATAGACATCCTTTTCACATTTTGAATGTCTTTCAGAGCATTTACCACTCATTCCCTCCTGTGAGATTTTGTCTCACCTCACCTTTTTGTGTCACTCGATCTCTGGAAAGACATTCTGCATATTAATGCTTTGAAGTGGGTTTTAAGCACCAAAGGACCACTATCTAAATATATCCAAGTCTCATACAGGCACTTTTTAATTTGGTTCCACCAGCAGAACCTGACTATTATGATGCAAAAAATTTTTTATCTGCGCTCATTATCTTCAGAAAATATAACTGATAGCATACAAATGTAGAGAGATATTTTGATTGAATGAAAGCGCAAATGATAACACATTTTAGAAAGATTTCCTCCAAGTCTGTTTACAAAGCCGCCTGCTCATTTCAGCCATTAGAAATAATTACAGCTAATTCACTTAGCAGAGTTGTTTCTCCCTGACAAGCTGTCATCACGCTGAACCCAATCATCTCAGCCCTTAATCATGTTTTTCAGGGGCTTGCAAAGAACTCAATTTCATACTCAAGGCTGAGGAGAATAATTAGAGCGCTTGGTTTCAAATTTCATCTGCACAGTCCGTACCGATACTGCCACGCAAGCCTGTTAGGTCATTGTTTCAGTAACTGCCCAAGAACATTCAGTGCAGATCATATATTTTTGCACACTGTCACGTTATGTTTCAAGCTGAGGTTGTATAATGAATCTGGTTTATCTGAAGTGGTCAGACAAAAGTATTCACCATTGAGGAATTGCAGCCATTTTTGGTACATTTTAGGTCTGGGGTATTTCTTTATGAACTTAGCTTGGCAAAAGATTTGAAGTGGAGCATTTGGAAGCTGTGAACATACAACAGACAGATGAGCTCAAAGGAATCCATCACAGAAAGAGATAACAGGAACATTTGGATTGGCAATTTGGTAAATTTGTAGAAACCCTGTACAATGTCTATCAAAGTGACAACCACTCTCCAAATGAAAAGCAATACCATTGCTCACAAGAAGAATTGCAGATATTTTATCACAAGGTGCCAAAGAGTCATCATCTTAGAGAATAGGAAAGACAGATTAGAGTTAAATAAAACGCATCTTAAAATAAAAGGTAAAGCTGTCAGAGCAGGGCATGCTTGACATCAAATTGCACTGGGTCAGTAGTGTTTACTGATGATGTGCCAGAAGCGGCGAGAAATCTGAAGAGCTATAATTTTTGCTCTCTTCAGCAAAACTGTCTTGACTGCACGTCATAGTAGCAAATGCAGTAAAAAGAGAGAAAATCCATTGTTTGGTGATGCCTTTAGCTTCCAGACGGTAAGCAATCAATGTCAAGGGTCCTTAACTGGGAAAGGTTTAGGAATAAACACTTTGTTATTATGCTCATTTGTCTTATTGCACCTAAGCTCCTGAAAACACAAGATTGTATAAATATGGAGTTCCTTATGAGTTAATGCTGTATTTTTGTTCAACACCTGTTGCTGAGATGAGAGTCGGTGTTTTAACCCCATATTCATCATATAACTGTAACTTGAACATGTTTTTACAGCCAAAAACCATTAATTTCATAAATGATGAAAAATATATGTGGACTTAGCACCACTCGTTCGATTTAGGTGTAAGACAAAGTTTGTCACCCCAGAGTTCTCAGTAGTTTTAAAAAAATGATGATTATTGACTAAATCAAATTGTTAAATATATATATATATTTTAAAAAAGCTCATAAAAGTTTCATATAAAGTTTCAAATTCCTCATTTTTTAATGACAGATGTTGCAAAAAACTTAAAGACACCCTGAAAACTTTTCACTGATGATGTGCAGATGTAGCCTACAACCAGAGATGGGCAGTGACGCGTTACTTGTAATGCGTTACTGTAATCTGATTACTTTTTTCAAGTAACGAGTAAAGTAAGGGATTACTATCGCAAAAACGGTAATTAGATTACCGTTACTTTCCCGTAGGAACGCTGCGTTACTGCGTTACTAAAACCGTGATTTTTTGCGAGAATGTCTCACGACAGTGACGTAAGCGAGTGCGCCGTTAGTGACAACAGCTGTGTGTAGATCAACAATGGATCACATATCGATTGTGGGAGAGAGTATGAGCGTGCAGCGTTTAAAGCGTGGAAGTACTGACCTTACTTTGAGTTTGATTCCATAAAAAGTGACAAAAACACTAGTGTCCATCGTGCGTGGGAAGAAAACTTCTTTTTACAACGAAAAAAACCCCTAAACTTCCAAGCAAGCACCAAGTGCGCAACGAGGCAATGGGAAATTCACAGAGAAACTCGCTGATTCTTCAACTGACCACGGCACACCTGCACCAGGGTAAACCTCCGCCTACCGTAGTCCTGCTTTACAGGTGAAAATAGAGCAACAGGACCGCTGAGTCTTTGACTTTATTTCCTGCTGTGTTTTACTTGCATCTATTTGAAAGAGTGAGTGTAAACACAAAAAATATTTTATTTTATATGCTGGAATGTGTAGAAAATAGGTTTAAATGTTAAACTAATTTATTCAAGTCAGAGAATGTTGCATATAATTAAATTTTTGCTTGATGCATAAAGTTAAAAGATTAAAACTGATAAAACAAGTTAAAAAAAGAGACTTTTCCATTTGATTACATTTTGTATGATGGATTATGTAGAAAAAGTAGAATAGGGCTGAAAGACCTATCGCTTTATCACCTATTCAGGTTGTAAATCGTGTTTTTAAAAAGTAACTAAGTAATTAATTACTTTTGAAAATAAGTAATCAGTAAAGTAACGGGATAACTTTTTTGTGGAAGTAATCAGTAATTAGTTACTGATTACTTTTTTCAAGTAACTTGACCAACACTGCCTACAACTCATATTTTCTGATGGGTCTGGTTTTCACATAGCAAACAGTCTTAGGCTCATAAAATGGACAGTCTTCTTCTTCTTCTTCTTTCTTTCTTTCTTTCTTTCTTTCTTTCTTTCTTTCTTTCTTTCTTTCTTTCTTTCTTTCTTTCTTTTTTTTTTAATTTTTACTACTTTTTTTTTCTTTTTTACTAAAATGACCAAGAGGTATGGCAGTCATGATAAGAGCTGGTCAATTTCCTTAAATTAAAAGCGCTTCAATTTCGCTTTTCTCCTTATCTTAATAAACATAAGACAAATTTCCTGTACAAGAAAGGGAGATAATGCCATCCTATAATTCTTTGGCAGCTTTGTCATAATTTTTTTGTTACTGGCAGGATATTCTTAAATAAATCAATCTCCATGTCTTTTCTCTAATGCCACGGCATTTGTTACTGAGGTTAAGTAATGGTGTATAGCAAAAGATGCAGGATGTTAATTTTTCTTTAGGCTTTCCAACCTTACTTCAAGAGTATCACATATATTATTAAAGAGAAAAAGGATCACAAACTCAGAGTAATGACATTATCCAATAAAAACAAATGCACTTATAAAAACAAGAGTGATTATTTGATAACAGAAGATATTGTTTTCCCCCTTTATGTGATATTTTGGGACTCGTTAAGAACAATCTCATCCCCAGTATCAGAAGGCTGACAGCTCATTTCAGAAAACAAACGGATTTTTCCGTTTGTGCCCGTATTTGTGTTCTGATATTAGTCTGGGTACCCTGTGTTTAATAAGAGGGGCTATTTGCATAGCTAAGTCAGTAGTAATTTTAGATAATTACGTAATTTCTTCGCGAAATAAAGGGATGGGAGGGATAATATGGTAATTCACACTGGACATTGGCCTCTGAGTCACGGAACTTGTTGCTTTGTGTAAATATCTGCTGGCTGGCTTATTGCGATATCCTGTTGCATAAAGCTCAGATCGTTTCATCTCAGCCTGCTTCATGCGCCTGGAGCACTTCAGCTTTTGATTGCAGACTTTGATCAGCTGTTGGGTGGGCAAAAAAAAAGCAAATCGTCCAAAATAGCAAACATCGTCTGAAAAAGGCCGGAATTTGTTTTGTTTTCAAAATAAAAGTTTAAGAATTCGTCACATCTGTTGGAAAACATACAAGAAGGACGTTTTATAGAGAATTTTATATTTTAATCCGACAGCCAACAATAATATTGTTATGTCTTAAAGGGGGTGTTAAACGGGGCAATTGTTTTAAATGCCTTGTTATTTAGGTTGCTCATTAAGCTGCATGCTGGCTGTCATTTTTATATTTTCTGCCGACGGCAGAACATCAAATGTAACTTGTCACATTAAATGTGCATCTTGAAAACAGATTTAGAAAACACCGATGCGCCTTGTTCGTCTTGAAACCTTACAGGACTGGTTTTATTTTGAAAAACATCCGGATTAAGTACTTTATCTCACATCTGGTCAGTACTGACGTTGTTAACAAAACCAACGGTGCGCTCCGCAGTATCAGCACATCCAGCATCAGCTGAGATTGTAGATGACAGAGTCCAGAAAGGAGAGAGGACCCAGAGGAACAATAATCATTATTAGTATTACTATTACAGAGTGTTCTTAACTCGTGTCTGTAGCTCGGAGACTTATTCTAGTGTTTTAAGAAATGGAAGATTTGGGAAAAGTCTTCAACGATTCACAGGTCTTCGTGTTTAACTTGTCTTCATGAAGTGGAGCGGGACGTTTAGGCGCGTTTTTGGACTTCTCCGGTGTTTCTGTGCGTGCGATGAAAAACCCCTACAATGATTTTGGCAGTCAATTAATTATGGGCGCGCACATCCTGGAGTCCAACTCCAGCGGCAACTTGACGCCTGCGGTGTCGGAAGCTGGGGCTGTCCTGCCGGGCTACCTGGTGGTGATCTTATCGGTACTTATGGTGACTCTGGTTGTCGTTGTTGTGGCAGGGAACGCACTGGTCATCATGGCTTTTATTGTGGACAAAACCCTGAGAAATCAAAGCAACTACTTCTTTTTGAACCTTGCTATATCCGATTTTCTAGTGGGTAAGTTCTCCTTCTTTGTCACTTTATCCGTTCGTGTTGTCTGAGTCCATTCTTATGAATGAAACCCTTTTTTTGCGCGCGCCCCAAGCACATTGTAATTTTCCCACACTGTAATTAGCGTCTAACTATTGATTAGCGGCGAGTTCATGATGACCTTTACAACCCTTTTGCGTTATTCACATGTTAAATTACAACGGACTACTCCGCGTAATTGTGGCATGCCTCCGTTTTATTGAAGAGCACTCACGTCCCTCTTATAGTGAAAGCTCCTCTTATCTACAGCTTTAGTTAAATTATACCCTTGTCATTAATGAAAGAGACATATTAGATTGTTCTTGTTCGTACAATGTCACAGGTTTCCTGGAACTGCGTCTTGTCGCTAATTTTCTGCCGCATGTAATGCATCTTACACCCAGAAACTGTGAAGGTATGGGAAAGTGTGAATATTGATGCTGGTGGCTGGTGAATCACCAATGTGATGTGTGTTTTGTGTGTTTTGTGTGTGTGTGTGTGTGTGTGTGTGTGTGTGTGTGTGTGTGTGTGTGTGTGTGTGTGTGTGTGTTCCAGGTGCCTTTTGCATCCCGGTGTACATCCCCTATAACCTGACCGGCAGGTGGATGCTGGGCAAAGGGCTCTGCAAAGTGTGGCTGGTCATGGATTACCTCCTTTGCTCAGCCTCTGTCTTCAACATTGTCCTTATTAGTTATGATCGCTTCCTGTCAGTCACAAGAGCGGTAAGTACAGTCTGTGTGGTAATGAGGCGCTCATTACCACACACACATACACACACGCTCATCAAGTTCACATAGGCGACCACATTTAGGTCCAAAATGTGTTACTCCCTGAAATAGCTTGTAGTGTGCTTAGAATCATTTGTATTCACAGCTTCGTTCTTTCACCAGGGTATTGCTGTCAAGTGAGTGCTTTGTTCATCAGCTTAGCCAAAATATTATCAGTGCAAAAATTAGCCCTGGCTCAACAGTCAAATAAACTATATATTCCATCACACAGCTCAGTTTTCTCATCACTTTTCAGATTTATCCTGTGAAAACAGCTGCAGAATGTCTTCTCTGGATCTCCAGGGGGTTAAATAACAGTCAATATGTCACAGTGATGTCACTGGGGTCATCATGGTTTTGTGATTGGGTTTTTGTTTTTTTAGGTTTTTTTCAGGGGGTGTAAGAAGCAGGGTGAGTCAGAGATGTGTTAGCGTGCATGAGTAGGCACCAATGCTCAATCTTAAAGCTAGAAATAAAGGGAAAGTTCACCCTAAAATCAAATTTTTACAGCCTGTTGTGACAGTTACGTTGGTATGAGCCGCTCAGTTTTGGTGATAGTAGCTATACAGAATCTGCCTTCTGTTGGAAAACAATGGAACTAAATGTGTAATTAAAAATATTATTAAAAATCAGTGACCAAAAAACCCACAAACATTGTGAGCAGTTTTATTGTTAGCTAAATGAAGCCTTGTTTTGCTGCTCATCATATCATGTTGTGTTATATTCAAGTGAAGGCAGGCAACTCTATAGGGATATCATACCAGTCTAGATGAATACAGGCAACTAACTAGTGAACTGTTCCTTTAACTCTTTCTCAATTAAAGACAACACATAAAGATAACATTTGACGACTAAATGAAGAGATTTGATACTTCAGTATTTGTCATTAAAGTGTGGTTTGACGAATATTCGAACAGTTTCTGGATTTTTCAAACTCACTCACTTCTGATGCAAACACAGTCATTTTAATCTAAGCAGGCTTGAAATATGACAAAAACCTCTTAAGTATATTTCACTGTCTGCTGCTTTGATCTTTGATCATTCTTTTCAGTTTTTGGCAGTTTTTTCAGTTTTTCCCTACATTTTGTACAAGATGAGTAATTCTTCTGTTGCTCTAAAAGAGTCATTGACTTTAATCATGGGGGGAAAATAGCCAGTATTAGATATAAAAGCAAAAGAAATATTTGTAAAACCTAAATATTTCAATGTGAATATTTGTATCCTCTTGCAGTCTCTTATTTTTAATTTATTAAAACTGTTAACTTTCTGTCAACTGATACGAGATTTACAAAAAAGAAAATCTGGCTGATGATTGGTTCGACTGCCTATTGGTCAGTTTCTTCACATTCAGCCTGTAGGGTGCAGTATTTCTTTAATTTACAGTGGAAATAGGGAGTCTTGTGCTTTTGTAGTGAACACTTGAAACTGGGGCCATAATTATTTATGAGCATCTTGTATTGGATCTGTTTCACTACTGATTTTTTTTTCCAGTTGCTCTTGAACCACAGACATGCTGGCAGCTTCACTTGACATATATCCAGCTGTTGAATCTGCAGAGAGACATTCTGATTGTGTGAGAAAAAGAAAAGATTGAGAAAACAACAACAACACCAAAGGGGAGAGCAGCAGATAGAGAAGCCCTGCAAAATGATAGCATTTAGACCGAGAGGAGGTGAAGTGAAAATGGAGTGAAAGCAAAGAGAATAAGCGACGGTGAGGGAGGGGTAGATCGGGAGAAACCAGATGTCTCTTTCATACTAGTGTTGCATCAGTGAATGTGGCTGTCAGCCTGACATTCCCCTTCTCTCTTTGGCTTCGGAGACACACCGTGGTATAAAAACTCCATGAGTGGGTTTTATTTACAGCATCTCTCTCCTGCTCCAAAGCCGCACAATGCAACAAGGGGTTCATTTGGGGAAGATACTCTGAGCAGCTGTGGGTGTTTGAAATGTAACGTGCAGTGTTATTATGATGCAGAGTTTCTGTTCACGGCACATCACTGTGAGTCATACTTGTGCCTCTCTTTTGACACAGGTTAAATACAGAGCTCAGAGGAACATGACCCACCAGGCTGTTTTCAAGATGGTGGCGGTGTGGGTGCTGGCCTTCCTCCTTTACGGCCCTGCCATCATCTTCTGGGAAACGATCGTCGGCTACAGCATTGTCCCGGCCCACGAGTGCTATGCTGAGTTTTATTTCACCTGGTACTTCCTGCTGAGCGCGTCTACCTTTGAGTTCTTCACCCCGTTTGTGTCGGTGGCCTTTTTCAACCTCAGCATCTATCTCAACATCCATCGCAGGAATAAGAGTGGGGCTGCCTGTGCTGAAGACAATGCCAAGCCTCAGAAGAACAATGAGAAGCATAAAGATGGAGCCAGCTGGTCCGTGTTTTTTGTCAAGACTCGGAAGGTGATGTCAAGCGAGCCTGTTGCGATCTCTGCGGTCATCGAAGATGACGACATCTTGTCTCCCTCCTCCAGCGGGGAGCCTAACGCCAGTCAGATATTAATGCAGCGAGAGAAGTTCTCTCCGCACAGAAAAAACTCCAGGTTGTTTCAGCACACGGCCTCCTGCATGGTGCCTGGCCGTAGGACACCGGGATCTCGGCTTTCCAGAGACAAAAAGATTGCTAAATCTTTAGCCATTATAGTCTGCATTTTTGGGATATGCTGGGCTCCGTACACTCTACTGATGATTATCCGTGCCGCCTGTAGCGGTAAATGTGTGGCGAACTACTGGTACGAGATTACCTTCTGGCTTCTGTGGCTGAACTCTGCCATCAACCCGTTCTTGTACCCTGTGTGCCACAGCAGCTTTCGAAGGGCTTTCTCAAAGATACTGTGCCCTAAAAGACAATCAGTTCAACCACAGATTGAAGTTCAGTCTTGTTAGATGAACTCAAATGAACTTGCATATTTTATGAATGGAGTAAATGTTGCTGAACACTGTAAAAAATCCATTTGATGTTCTTCTATAAAAAAAAAAAGGCCAGTTTTCAAAAATTAGGTAAATGTTTGCATTTAAATGAGGATTGTAACATACCTGACAGCAATACGATGACACAACACAGCTGAAAATAGCACAACATAATATTCTTATGGGCAGAACAATAGACTCTTGTAGTACCATTGGATAAATCTGCCCACGATTAAACCACCTCTCAAAGCCAGTTTCAGATTTTTCTAATGTTGTTCTTGTTCATTTTAAAACCTTCACACATTCCCTCTAAGAAGGCTGCAGAAGGCTGTGAAATGATGGCATATGCAGTCTTAAAGAAGGTAATTACCATAATTTAGTCTAAGATATCACACATATATGAGAACTACTGATCACCAGGTTGTTAAATTGTGTTCTGTCTGAATGGAAGCACGACGCAGACAGAAATGACATCTTCACCCAGCATCCAATTTCATAGCGGCCACCGTGAGAACATTTCAACTTCTATTTAGATGAAGCTGATGTGAAGCAAGAACTCAATGGTCTTTTGATGGTTTCAGAATATATCTGCACATGAAACCCTTTCATGTTACAGTTTCAAATATACAGCTGCAAGTTTGACTTTATGCTCATGCCCCTAAAAACTATACAATGCAAATCATGCAGCGATAGACTCACAAATGCAGAGTCCTCCATGTTTAAAGCACTAGAAAAGAAGACAAGAGTGTGCTTACTGACCAATGAGTGTACTTTTATCAAAGTAATTCTAAATATTTTATAGTTTTAATCTTATGGCAAGGAAATCTACCTGACATCTGTCAAAATGTTAAGAAAATGTCAAAGCAAAATGTGAAGCACAATGAAAAGAGAGCTGATTTAAAACTTATGTACAATAAGATCAATGTCAGGCCAGATGGCTGAGTTAATTATTTATTTCAAGGCTCGACTGGTTTACCTAAAACTGTTTTCACACATGCAGTGCAGTCTTGAATTTTTGCCGAAAGGTACATGCAAGGATTTGCTTGTAAGACTCAGTGGAACATTAAACAGTTTTTCCTTGATGCAAAGCCTGCGTGATGTCTGACTGAGCTCATGTGCGAGCAGAAAAACGAATCGTCCAGCGAATTCATGATTCAGGGAATCATCGTGTTCTGCCTCCCTCTCGCTGAACCCAGACAGCTCGCCTGCCTTAACCAAACAAAGTATTTCCAGGAGTGAGAAAGAGTCTGACTGTCTCCTGTTGTGTTCTACAAAGGAGAAAGAACACTTTTGAATAATAATATGACCTGATTCTCCCAACATAGTGCAGACATGTGAAAACCGCATATTTGATTACTTTGTGTATTGGTTATGAATCTGTGCAGCTGTAAGTCAGATGAAAAAAATAAAATAAAATAAAAGAAGACTGCCAACAGGCTTTTTTCCACTGTATGTTATTGGTAAAATCTGGAGGAGTAGTTACATCTATAACCTACTTTGTTGTCAAGGGTTAGATGTGAACACTGCTTTTCTTCTGGTCTCTTACTGTTTTTCTTTTTTCCCCACATCAGCTTTGATATGAAACCTTTCTTTCATTCATCCAGAGTCTGTCTCTGGAGACAAAACATCCATCTCTCAGTTCCTGCAGCCCAAGTCACTCTTTTTATTTTTCAAAGAAAAGCCATCATCACTCCTGAGGGAAAAGTAAACTTTCTGGTGTCCAACTGAGACAACTTGTTCAGTCATGAGACTATTTTTCTCTTTTAATGGAGTCTTGCTATTTTGTCCACTCGGCACCTCTGTTTATTTCCTTCCATCTTTCTTCTTTTCTTTAATTCTCTCTGCTTTTTTCCTAAACAGGTCTGTAGGGTCAAACATATATTCCTTAACTAGTTGCTGAAAATTTCTGTCTGTCATTTGTTGAAATCAGTCACAATGAAGGTGCAACACCGAAAACCTTGCTGCAATTGCTTCGATTGCTAGCATATCACCATAGCCGACGGGGGTTTCCATGTAAAACATGGACTTACCTGCAACACTCACCAAATGCAAAAAAACTCCAGGCGACCAAGCCAATCTGCCAAAGACCACAGCAATTGGCATGGTTTTTGGTGTATTCAATTCAATTCAATTTTATTTATATAGCGCCAAATCACAACAAAAGTCGCCTCAAGGCGCTTCATAGATACAGAGAAAAACCCAACAATCATATGACCGCCTATGAGCAAGCACTTTGGTGACAGTGGGAAGGAAAAACTCCCTTTTAACAGGAAGAAACCTCCGGCAGAACCAGGCTCAGGGAGGGGCGGGGCCATCTGCTGCTACCGGTTGGGGTGAGAGAAGGAAGACAGGATAAAAGACATGCTGTGGAAGAGAGACAGAGGTTAATAACAGATATGATTCAATGCAGAGAGGTCTATTAACACATAGTGAGTGAGAAAGGTGACTGGAAAGGAAAAACTCAATGCATCGTGGGAATCCCCGGCAGCCTACGTCTATTGCAGCATAACTAAGGGAGGATTCAGGGTCACCTGGTCCAGCCCTAACTATATGCTTTAGCAAAAAGGAAAGTTTTAAGCCTAATCTTAAAAGTAGAGATAGTGTCTGTCTCCCGAATCCAAACTGGAAGCTGGTTCCACAGAAGAGGGGCCTGAAAACTGAAGGCTCTCCCTCCCATTCTACTTTTAAATACTCTAGGAACAACAAGTAGGACCCTCTTTGCAATGGATTTCACCTGGCAACAGCCAGGAACCTCCAGAAACCACTTGCCAGCTGGTTGGGGAATGCTCATTTTTCCTTTACCACTGGGGGTTGCCAGATAGTGATGGCCACATTTTCCCCGACCAACTAGAGGTTGCCAGGGAATCATCGACCTTCTCTAGGCCTGAGGCGTTATATAGAGAAATTAGTGCTTGAATAGCTGGCATCTGTCAGTCAGCTTAGAATGATTTTTATTTTCTAGCAATAATAATAATAATAATAATAATAATAATAATAATAATAATCTTTATTTATAAAGCACACTAAAAACCAAGGGTATACCAAGGTACTTGACAAAATAAGATAAGATTGGAAAAAGAAGATGGGAGGGAAAAGAGTAAGAGAACATATGTATATCATAATACATAAAAGTAGTTAACAATGCATAACAGATAAAAATGTATCATCCATCCATCTTCATCCGCTTTGTCCGGGGCCGGGTCGCGGGGGCAGCAGCCTAAGCAAAGAGGCCCAGACCTCCCTCTCCCCAGCCACCTCCTCCAGCTTATCCGGGGGAATACCAAGGCGTTCCCAGGCCAGCCGAGAGATATAATCTCTCCAGCGTGTCCTGGGTCTGCCCCGGGGCCTCCTCCCGGTGGGACATGCCTGGAACACCTCACCCAGGAGGCGCCCAGGGGGCATCCTTGTCAGATGCCCGAACCACCTCAGCTGGCTCCTTTCGATGTGGAGCAGCAGCTGCTCTACTCTGAGCCCCTCCCGGATGGCCGAACTTCTCACCCTATCTCTAAGGGAGAGGCCAGCCACCCTTCGGAGGAAGCTCATTTCTGCCGCTTGTATCCGCGATCTCGTTCTTTCGGTCACTACCCACAGCTCGTGGCCATAGGTGAGGGTAGGGACGTAGATCGACCGGTAAATTGAGAGCTTCGCTTTTACACTCAGCTCCCTCTTCACCACGACGGACCGGTGCAGCGTCCGCATTACTGCAGCTGCAGCCCCAATCCGTCTGTCGATCTCCGGGCTCCCTTCTCCCATCACTCGCGAACAAGACCCCGAGATACTTGAACTCCTCCACTTGTGGCAGGAACTCATCCCCGACCCGGAGTGGGCACTCCACCCTTTTCCGGCTGAGAACCATGGCCTCAGATTTGGAGGTGCTGATCCTCATTCCCGCTGCTTCACACTCGGCTGCGAACCGTTCCAGTGCGAGCTGGAGGCCCTCACCCGATGAAGCCAACAGAACCACATCATCTGCAAAAATCAGAGATGAGATTCTGAGGCCACCAAAGCGAAAGCCCTCTGCCACTTGGCTGCGCCTAGAAATCCTGTCCATAAAAATTATGAACAGAACCGGAGACAAAGGGCAGCCCTGGCGAAGCCCATCACCCACCGGGAACGAGTCCGACTTATTGCCGGCAATGCGAACCAAGCTCTTGCAACGGTTGTATAGGGATCGAATGGCCCGTAGCAATGGGCCAGACACCCCATATTCCCGCAACACCTCCCACAGGACACCCCGAGGGACACGGTCGAATGCCTTCTCCAAGTCCACAAAACACATGTAGACTGGTTGGGCAAACTCCCATGCACCCTCAAGTATCCTGGAGAGGATAAAGAGCTGGTCCAGTGTTCCGCGACCAGGACGAAAACCGCATTGTTCCTCCTGTATCCGAGGTTCGACTAACGGACGAACTCTCCTTTCCAGCACCCTGGCATAGACTTTCCCAGGGAGGCTGAGGAGTGTGATCCCCCTGTAGTTGGAACACACCCTCCGGTCCCCTTTCTTAAAGATGGGGACCACCACCCCGGTCTGCCAGTCCACAGGTACTGCCCCTGATCTCCACGCAACATTGCAGAGGCGTGTCAACCAGGACAGCCCTACAACGTCCAGAGCCTTCAGGAACTCGGGGTGGACCTCATCAACACCAGGGGCTCTGCCACCAAGGAGTTGTTTAACTGCCTCAGTGACCTCGCCCCCGGAAATTGGCGGGTCATTCCCCTCATCCCCAGACTCTGCTTCCTCCTCGGAAGACGTGTCAGTGGGATTAAGGAGGTCCTCGAAGTATTCCTTCCACCGCCTGACAATTTTCTCAGTCGACGTCAGCAGCGCTCCGCCAGCACTATACACAGTGCAGGTAGAGCACCGCTTTCCCCTCCTGAGACGTCTGACGGTTTGCCAGAATCTCTTCGTATCAACGCACACCAAATATTAGCTAGGTGGAAAAGCAAGATTAAATAAACAAGTCTTTAACCATGATTTAAACAATGGCATAGAGTCAGACGCCCGGATAGCAACAGGAAGATTGTTCCATAAGACTATGGAAAAAACAGAACAGTGAGTTCTTCTCTTAGTTTGTGCTCAAAATTGTAATTCTGCACACAAAGCCTAGTGAATGAGGGCTGCGAATTCCATCACTTAACTGAAAGTCACCACTTAACACTAAATCCCTTATTTATGATTTCAGGTAGTCACTCCATTGACCTAACCTGACTACTGAAATTACTCTCATAAAACTATAGTTATTATTTGTACATTTTGTACTGAAGTATAATGGATTAAGCTGGAACCTTCAGAGCCTCTGTTTTCTGTTTCAGACTGAATGGTGCCAAGTGCCTCTTGGTACTTCCAGAAATGTCATACTACTTCTCTGAGTGTTTCACGATTGGTTAAAGGTTTATAATTGTTTCTGGCTCCTGTGAGATGGGATATGGTATGACAGATGTTAGCTGGTGTGAATGGGTGAAAACCATTCTTGTCTTTTTATGTTGCTGGTAGCTGTTGTCTGTGTTTGATTCACACCTGCCAAAAAAAAAGAAAAAAAACTTTGCAGGAAAAAAGTGAGTTTTCTGTTTTGAAGATTGCTGTCAAGCTCTCATTTTATCTAGCAGCAAACACACAGTGTATGACAGAAGTGGCATTGACTTAAAAAATTTTCACCACAGATGAACATGATCAAAATATATCCAGAAAACTCTCTGGGGGCTGTCAGAAAAATAAAGGAAGTAACAGTATCGCTTTCCCCTGTGGGAATAACATGGGACATTTTACTTAGGAGGAAAGACCCTTGGAGACTGTTTAGCCTTGAGGATACACACAGAATTTATTGCACTGAAAGAAGAATCTTTGGATGATGCTGTTTTGTATCTTTCTGCCGTGCCTTATCGGCAACAACAAATTTAATTTGATGTCCAAAAGGTCACACGAAAGTCATAGCCCTACAGAAGCAGCTGTATAAATCATACAGTTTGTTGCCGTTCTGTAACATCTCAGTTAAACTCTGGAACAGCTCATATGATTAAACTTCCTGTCTCTGCATCTTGTTTTGAATACAGCCCAAAGCATTAAGTGGCTTTAAAAAAAAGACCCTGCAGAAAAAAAAGCTGTTTCCTCTGGGGCAAACTGGATAAATAGATTGTGGTGGTGTGTTTTCCCACTGACCCTATTTAATAATAGTCATTTAAATGCAATGGTTACTGTGGGTGCATGGATACACATTTTGTGCCTGTGAAAACCACAGCTCAAGAGTGAAAATGCTTTTGCTAAACAGATCCAAAAAATCTGAGACCCATGAGGCACGACTGTCATCTGTGTGTCTCAGAATTCAAGAATAGAAACGGACTAGTCGAGGAGTACAAGAGACTTTTTCCCCTCGGCCAAAAACAGGAGTCAATTTGGAAGCATTTCATAAAAGGTCAGTCGAGAA